AAACTTAAGAGATAAAATATTTAATTTCATTAACTCAAAATATCTGGTGTCAAAATGTTAATTTTTAAGTTAAATATAACTTTTACAATATTGATGTTCTTACATTTTTAAAGACCATATGAATCCTGATAAAATATTAAAATGCATATGTTTACTTTAACTAGTGTAAAATCCTTATCAAAATAATGATCAAGACCCAAATGTAAAACAGTATAATTGATGATAAAAACTCAACTGGCTTCAAAAAATATGAAGAGGGAAGTAAAAGTCGACATGTTTCGAGCGTTCAAATATAATCGCCCATTCTCAAAACTTGTCAAGCTTGAATAACTTGTGACTTTCATTATTGGATACAAAACGGAACAGTAGATGAGTCTTTTCCAAATACACTGTTAGAAATTTCTCGGTTAAAAAACAATTAATTTAATTGTTATTTTTCCATATTCAAGCAAAACAGTCAAATAAATAAGATGGTATCGAGGCTATTAACGGTGAGAAAAATCATTTATTAACTGTTAAACAACCAGAATAATGAAGCAACTTAGTTCAGCTAAGTACTGCCGAGATGGCATCTCATGAGCTAGTTGTAAATGGTTTAAAAAATTTTCGTCACGGTTAATTGGATGGACAAACCGGTTATTTTACCATAACTTTAGAATTATAATAGTGTAGTTCATAAAAGCTGTCTTCGACTATGCTGGTAAAATTAACGTTTGGTACTTTGGATAGCTTTATTTCAACGGCAGATTTCCCTTTTTACTTATTTAATGTATTTTTCCTGATCGCTCTTTTGCGAGAAAAAATATTGCGAATCAGCAAGTTGTTCAGAATCATAAGAATTTAGTAATTTTAATTCTCACTACAAAGTTTCTCAAATTTTTTTAATTATCTTTATAATAATTTTTCTTTAAATATTATTCATATTTCCCGATATAACTTAATATTCTATATTTTTGTACTTAAAGTAAAATAGTTGCAAAAAATTTTTTTTTCATTAATAGCTCTTTTGAAACACAAAAATATTTTCATACACAAAAGCAAAGTGTAAAAATTCGTTAGGTAATTGAAAATCTTAAAATATAGGTTTAAGAAAAGAAAAAGCATTTTTGCAATCTAATCTTTTAATATTTAAACAGTTATACCAAAAATACATTATCTAGGCTCATAAAAGATGCAAAAATTTAGAATTATTAATTGATTTTTATAGAGGTGGAAAAATCTCACCAGATTCGTGATTTCTAAAATGGTTTAATTACTCTTAAAATATTTAAGTCATCTGTCCATTCTAAAGCCAAAATAATTCTTTTTGGCACTTAAACTGGCGCTTTTTCATTTTCTTTGTCAAAACTTAGAAAAAGACTGTTAAAAAACATCAAAACATAAAGTGAAAACAGATTTAGGACGAATAAAAAAAAAGGCATTTTTCATATTAATTTTTAAAGAAATATTTTTAAACATTTTTTTCGTGGTTTTACAGATAAACATTTCCACGAAGAAATTCATGATTTTTATGATACGAACAGAAAAAAGTATCTTTTAATACACTGTTTTAAAACAAACCTCAAACGTTTCAAAAAAAGTGAAAACAGTTATATTTGATTAAATTCAAATTGTGATTGTTTTCTTTCTTTTTCTTCAATCGGATATGAAATCTTTGCTCGGCCACCTATGAAGGGATGAAATTCAAAAATAATTTTTACTTAATATGGAATTACATTATCAGTGAACAAGAAAGTTTCTGCTGAAATAATTGGAAAAAAAATCACAAAATGGCATTATCTGAGATCTGATTTAAAGTAACAACACAAACATGCCCAAGATATGGTTTAAAGACTACCTAGAAAACCATGTTTTAAAATATATTCTTCTGATTTAAATTATTATTAAAAATAATATTAAAAAATTTGAGAAATAATTTCGTTACACAATGCAATGTTTTTACTTAAAAATCTATGAAAAGGAATCTGTTTTTGAAATGCCTTTCTTTCTGTATAGAAAATATATGTGAAAGTTTGCCGCATGTTGCCAATGGGATTGTATATAGAACATCTATCAATAGTTCAGCATTGTTAGTTTGCAATGAAGGCTTCAAACCTTTAACAGATGATAAGATATATTGTCTACCTACAGGAAAGTGGTCTTCTAACAGTCTCCATTGTATTCGTAAGTAGGCCTTTTTAGAACATTGTATTAAAGAATGTCTACTTGTGAAAAAATATACACTTTTGTGTAAAAATATTTGTTCAAGATTTTTAAATAAATTTTAATTTGTGCTTCTATATTCTTAATGCTGATGTTGCTAAAAGCTAAAAATTAGTTGGAAAAGAATGATTTAAAATAAATTTGATAAGGTTATACACTCATGGACAAAAAAACTGGCGCAAAAAGAAATAATTGCGAGATTGTAACGAAACTTGCAATGAAGGTACATGTCGGGGAGATAAGCAAATGATTAGAAGAGCAGCGTGATTGCGCAATACGTATAGCCGGTAGAGGGCGTAGAACGTCGTACTCTGTGTAGTATAAAACAGGTAACCAAAGTTTATTTGAGTGTGCTGAATCATTTACAAAGGAAGAGCTGGGGTAGACATGCCATTACGCCGTGTTCGAAGACAATGAGAAGTTGTCGCAGTTTGAGAGGGGGAGAATCATCGGGATGATGGAAGCTTGGTGATCAACTAGGCGAGTAGCTCGTCAATTAGGCCGCTCTGATTGTGTTGTGAGGAGGTGTTTTGACCAATGGACCCGAGAGATGTCATGTACACGAAGACCAGGCTCAGGACGCCCTCGACAGACTAGTCGTCGAGTAGACCGCCACATCGTAAGAAATTCACGCGTACAGCCAAGTGCTTCATCGGCCGCCATCCAGCACGGGTAGCACCTTCTTTAGGGGCCCCTGCGTCTTCTCGAACCATACGAAGGCACCTGGCTGAAGGACAGTTGGTATCGCGGCGCTCATTACGTGTGCTGCCCATGACGCCCACCCATCGACATCTCCGTTTGGAGTTTTGTCGTGCACGAGGAAACTGGACTGCAGCGGAATGGAACCGGGTCGTCTTTAGTGACGAATCCAGATTCAATCTCAGCAGTGATGACAATCGTGTTCGTGTGTGGAGACCCCGTGGTGTACGCCTCAATCCTGCCTTTGCTGTACAGCGACACATCGCCCCCACAGCTGGTGTGATGGTATTGGCTGCCATTGCCTACAATACATGGTCACCCCTAGTATTGTTCCGTGGCACCATGACAGCCCAGCGGTATGTCCATTAAATCCTGCAACCGCATGTGTCTCCACTCATGCAACAGCTCCCAGGAGCCATTTTTCAACAAGACAATGCTCGGCCTCATACGGCAAGGGTGTCACAAGACTGTCCCCGTACTGTTACAACCCTTCCTTGGCCTGCCCGATCCCCAGATTTGTCTCCAATCGAGCATATCTGGGATCATTTGGAACGGCGAGTTGGGCATCTCACGAGTTTGAACGAACTAGAGGCAAGGTTGTAGCAAATATGGGACGAAATGTCTCAAGACGTCATACAGAACTTGTATGCCTCAATGCCCGATCGTAACGCATCGTGCATTCGCGCTAGAGGGGGTCCAACGGGGTATTAACTCCTCCGTTCTTTTGCCTTTTTCTCTGAAATAAATTATCCCTCTTCTTTGATTTTCTAATCATTTACTTATATCAAAGTAGTCATTACGTATGTAAAATTTCGTTTCATTTTGATGACTCCTTCTTGGTGGGCTAATTATTTGTCCATGAATGTATTTAAATTTTCCTAAACTCTACATTTCTTTTATTTACATACTGTTATTAATGCCGTATTTTAGGGAATCATTTAGTGGATACTTTAGATAACGATTTTTTTGGTTTCAAAGAGAAATTTGATTTTAATTTCCGTCAACAAGCTTTATCACAAAGTCCAAAAAGTTTTATAAATGATTTACAAATAAACCTTGCAAGCTTAAATTTAACAATGTTTAAATTAAACCTGCATAAACAACCTTTAATATCTCCTTTCACAAAACAAGGCTTTTGAAATCGAGGATGAATGATCAGCACATCAAGAGCTCTCTCAAACTAAGGATCTTCTAAAGGATAATTTCCTGACCATCACGGAACCTTTATATAAACTCATGTTTGTGAAAATTGCAACACCATGAAGGACTTATGCGAGATAGCTGAAATTTTCAGGAAATGCAAAGTGGAGCATGTTATGCAAATGATTAGAATTTCAGACCCGCAGCACATGCGCATGCTGAGCAGCGCCCTCTGAACGGCTGACGGATCCGAATAAATAGACGGCTGTAGCGACGCGTGTATGGTTATCGGTGGTAATCTGCTTGTGGTAAACGTTAGCTTAGTCGTTACTTATGCCTCTTCGATGAAAGAGAGCGAGTTTTCAGCAACTTACGGACTTTGAACGGGGGAGAACCATCGGCCTTCGGGAAGCTGGATTATCTTATGGTGCAGATGCCGCTCGTGTGCAGCGTAACAGCAGCACAATGGTGCGTGTTTGGAAGCAGTGGACGAACGAGTGTCAAGCAACTTGGAAATCCGGGAGTGGACCCCGAAATATCACGTCAGCTCGCGACTGTAGACACCTGGTCCGAATGGCGCTGACTGACCGTACGGCCCCCACTAGACAACTGGCAGCACGGTGGTCAGTAGCTACAGGTGTTTCATTGTGTGCTTCATCAATTCGTAGACGTCTGCTGCAGCGTGGACTGCGCGCAAGGGACTCCTTTATACAGGATCCCCCTCACGCCAAAGCATCGCCGCCTGCGGCTGCAATGGGCCAACCAGCATAGGGACTGGCGTGCTGATTGGCAGCGTGTTGTGATTTCTGACGAATCCCTCTTTAATTTGTAGTACCAAGATGGCCACATTCGTGTCAGACGCTATGCCGGTGAATGCCACCTTCCGGAGTGAGTTATCAAACTCCACAGTGGACGAACACCCGGAGTTATGGTCTGGGGTGCCATAGCATGTCATGGACGATCTCAATTGCTACGAATTGTGGGTAATCTGAACAGCAACCGGTACATCAGTGAAGCTCTACAGCCCCAAGCTGTTCCCTTCCTTTAAGCCTTGCCAGGTGCTGTATTCCAACAGGACAATGCCCGCCCTCATATTGCTAGGATTGTTCTATCCTTCCTTGCATCGCGACAGGTACAACTTCTTCCTTGGCCGGCGTATTCCCCGGATATGTCGCCGATTGAACATGTGTGGGATTTCGTTGGTCGGCGTCTTGCTCGTAATCCTCGTCCTGTTGCTTCTACAGACGAACTTTGGGTACGCATACAAACAGTATGGAATTCTCTTCCTCAAACAGACATTCAAAGTTTGCTTGACTCCATGCCACGTCGCGTAGCAGCACTTATTGCGGAGCCCGGTGGCTACACAAAATACTCATTTCGCTCTCTTGTTATTGTTTGTTTGCTTTGAAACTTTAATCATTTTTTTGTACTACTACTAGTCAACTGTGTATTAAATTTCATTTAATTATGACGATTCCTTCATGGTGTTGCAATTTTCACAAACATGAGTTTACGTTTTAAAAGTGAAGGTTGGCTTGATAATCTCAACACAAACAAAATGCCCTAAGTCTAGACAAAGCTAGAATGAAAAAAGGTTTAGAGTAAAAGCTAAAAAATAAACTTCTTTTCTGAAGTTTTTTGCTTCAATGTTTAAGGAAACAAGCTTGGCATACTAATATTTCACTTAAATTCAAAAAAGTATTAATTTATCAACCTTTCTTTGCCAACCAAATGAAAATTAAACGTTTGCCGTAAACTTGCTCTGGAATGATTCTCAAATAACGAAGTTTATGAATTCGAGATTTACTCCCTGGATTTTTTTCTCCATACTTTTCACTAACTTCAATTTTTATTGCACTTTGGAAACATTTTAAGTTACGCACTTTTAAAAACGTTTATTCATTTAATCAACGCCTCAACACTTCTTTCTGTTAAAATATCAAATACGCTTTCAAATCTTGTCAATTTTAACTTCTGTCAGCTATTGTTTAACGTTTTTTTTCTATAAAAAGTATTGCAGCGCTTTCAAAACTTTTTTCCAATGTCTTTGCGTGATTTTTTTTTCACCACACGAAAAAAAAAACTTAAATTAAAGTGAGTTCGTTAAAGTTTTGGCTTTGACACATAGTGTTAAGTGAGATGTTGCTAGAACAGTTTACCTAATTATATATAAATTATATATAAAATTATATATAAAACTATATATAAAAAGTTATATATATATATAATTTTTTCACGTTTATTATTAAAAAAATGACTGAAAATTAGAAGTGGTGTTTTATTTATTACGGGTTTTGAGGACTCTATTTTAATGAATTGTTTCAATATAGTCAAATTGGCATACTGGAAACAAACTAAACTAAAAACTAAACTGTAACTGAAACTGAAAACACATTTTTTTAATTCAAAAAAATAGTTTATTTAATTATAAAATTTATAATGTATGGGGTTGATTTTATTGGACAAAGAATACCTTAATATCAAGCGTAATTCTGAAAGTATTTCCTTTAACAAAAAAATTTGACTTTCCTATGCTTTTTTAGAAAATTCTAAGAAATTTTTTAAATTATCATAAGTTTAAGCAAACACGGTTTTCTTCGTTGGTCATATGTTGTAGAAAAATTCGAGTTAACGATAGTTAACCAAAATGCGATTTATCCATAACTTATACGAAAAGCTTTAGTTGGCGTTTTGGGGGAAATAGAAGGTTAAAAAAAAAGCTTCGATGTATCTTTCTGCCTTTTTGTGGTGGGTGGATTACTAAAATTTTTGATGCGTTAAATGAGCTTATATTTTTTTTAACTCTGGGCTGAAGACACTTTAAGGTTGAAAAATAACAAGAAAATTGCCTTTGTTTTGATACTTTTTTTATTTATGGTTAGGAAATTTGTATGTATGGAAAATATGAGGAAATGTTTTGAATTACTTATTTTTTTAACTTGAAGAATTGAATAAGACGAAAATGTTCTTTTGAATTAAAATTAAACAACGTGTTGTTTTTAAAATTAGAAATAAGTTCTTAAAATTAATTTGTGAGAAAAATCATGTTGAATAACTTTTTCACCGTCTTTATCATAACAAATAACGATAAAACTGTTAGTCATTTAAAACAACTACACGGGTGTAAGAATTTAAGAGATTATCTCTAGAACTACAGGACCGATTTCAATGGTTCATACAATACCATTCAACAACTGTAATACACACTTGTTGGAGTAGGAAGGTGCCTTATTTCAAGTATGAAATCCCGCTGCATATCTGCAAGAGGGGACACTACCCCTATTAACCCTTTTTTTTGTTTTGCTGTTGTTGTTTATTTTGCAACTGCTGTTTCATACCTTCCGACTCCAACCAGTGTTGCGCATGATCATGCGTGTGTATTACAATTGTTGAATAGTTATTTGTTTTGTATTGTATCAATGTATGTACATATCAAATTTCATTAAAATCGGTCCAGTAATTCTAGAAATAATCGCCTGCAAAATCTCTCAATTTCTTACATCAGTGAATGTTAAATCTTTCTCAAATAAGGGAGATTTTAGACAAAATTTAAAGACAACTTTTCAAAAGAAAGAGAGAATTAACAGTTAAATAATATTCTAAATAAAATGTTTTTATATATTAGTTTAATTTTGTTTATTTGAAATTAGCAATAGAATGTAAGAGAAATCCTATTATTCCATTTGGAAGAGGACACCTTATTGATGGAAATTCAGTTTATGGATCCAGACTTCAAATTAAATGCGACCTTGGTTATGCTGCAATTGAATCAGATCTACGGCAATGTCAACAGGATGCTTCTTGGGGAAACTTAGATATATGTCTTGGTAAGTTGCTATCAATTATTGTATTTATGATGCCTAAAACTAATTATGTGGCCTTCTAATGGGATGAACCGGATTCCCAGCGATGGCCAGTCGATACGAATTCCGCACTCGGCACGCACCGACCGCAGTGACGTAAAATATCCTCAGTGGTCTATGGCTCGTAGGATAGAGTCCCCATGCTATCAGGCTAACCATGGGAGATTTTCGTGGTTTTCCTCTACATGTAACGCAAATGTGGGTTAGTTCCATCAAAAAGTCCTCCACGAAGACAAATTTCTCCCAATAGTTGAACCAGGAGTTTCCTTGGCTTCACTTGAGTTCAAAATATTCAAGGCTACTGAGATGAACATTAGTAGTCGTAAACTAAAAAATTGGGTTGGACTTCTCAACGGCGGATATAATGTAAAATATAATTATACGCAAGGAGCCGGTGGCTCAGTGGATAGAGTACTTGCCTTCAGATGTGGTGAACCGGGTTTGAATCCCAGCGTTAGCTGGTCTATACGAATTCCTCACCCTGCTTGCACCAACCGCAGTGCTGACGTAAAATATCCTCAGTGGTAGACGGATCATGGGCTAGAGTCCCCTTGCATTCAGGCTAACCATGGGAGGATATCGTGGTTTTTCTCTCCCTGTATCATGAAAACGTCATCCACACAGGCAAATTTCTCCCAATACATGATCCAGGAGTACCCTTGTTTTCCGGATCAAAATTACAAGGCGTTGAACACTAGTAACTCAAAATCGAGTCGGTTGTTCAACGACGGTTATAAGATAAAATACATTTTACTTGAATAATGCAGTTAAACACAGGAAAGCTCAGAAAAGCATGTTATCTTGAAACCTTCTTGTTTAGGAAGTATCTCTAGACCAATTTTAATGAACACGCATTAGAGTCGGAAAGTATGAATAAATCACGGCCTGTAAGAGAGGACCCATTATTAACAATTTTTCTAGAGATTATCTTCATTTCTTACGCTAGATTATTTCGATCTGGTCGCCGAAATTCCACTCATAGGAATATTTTGGAATGGTGATTAATCGACAGAATAGAATACAAATAATGAATATTTATTATTACACTGTAATTATTATTACAAAACGAAATGTATATTATTACAGTTTTATTTTATTAAATTAAAATATTATTTACATAAGACATAAATAAGACCATTTTGAGGTTATTTTTTGTGAATCTTCTTTATTTTATCGCATCATAATTTCTCCCTTTTTATTAATAAAACTTTCGTTGCTCTAGTTTTTCTTTTCTTATTAATAAAAACCTCAATCATCAGAAGATCAAACGTAATAAAGGTTTAGCCATTTAGTTAACATCGTGAATTTGGCTCTATTGGTAAGAAAAGTAATTTTTTAATATATTTATAGAAAACCTTTGCAACAATTTATGTTAATTTACTCGAAAATTTTTCTTTTTAGTCAGTGCCCCTTGCAGGCCTTGGCTGCTTCAATAGCCGATCCATGGCAACTCTCTTCCAATTTCTAATCTTTAGGGTCGTTTAATAGGGCTTCTGGGACCCCTCGGGATTTTCAGCTCAGTCTTAGGATTAGTGCTTATATAGGCCAAATTATTATGTGCACTAAAGATTCTGTGTAAAATCTTAATTATCATGTAATACTTTAATATTTTTACACGATTGAAACCGGTTTACGTTCGTGTATTATTGTAATTGGTTAACATTTCCATGCTAAACGTTAAAGATAAATACAAAAAGGAAGTATATTAAAATCTCTTGAATGAAAAACCATTCCATTTATGCTTAAATATTAAAGTATTGCAAAACTCGTGCAATACTTGTCATTATTAAGGAACTACAGTGAGTTTAATAACTGGGACTGTAAAGCTCGAATATTCATACTTTAATTTTAATATTGGTTCTAATATAATACTCTGGTATCTTAAAATGAAACTTGCCTTTTCAGAATTGAATTGTGGCAAACCATTAAATGAAAATTGTGGACAATGGATACCTTTGAATATTTCTTTTATTTTTGTTCTCATTTGTGATAGTGGATGTCATATTGAAGGTTCTCCTCCAGTTATTCAATGTCTTCCTAATGGAACATGGACTCATACCTTTGCAGTCTGTCGTAACATGAATAGAAGTAACCGATTATTTTTACTTTTTTAACTATGTATGTTGTTGAAAGTAACGTTTAGATCAGATCAGTTAAACGTTTCAGATCTCCTAAGAGGGGTAGGGTGCATCCTGACGACTCGAAATCATATAGCAATGTGGGGTCGGAAATGCTTTCCTGAAGCGGGGATGTACACAGAAGCACCATAAAGAAAAGAGACCGTAAGTGAAAAATCGTTTTAATAATACATTGAAAAAATTATATGGCCTCCTCGGTCACTCGACCTATCATGTCTGGATTTCTGGGGTCATATGAAAACGCTGGTTTATGACACCCCTGCTGACAATGCTGAGGAGCTGGTTGCTAGAATCTCAGTAGCTGCCGGAGAAATTCGAGATATGCCTGGAGTATTGCAGAATGTTCGAATGTCCATGCGCCATAGATGTGAAGTGTACATTGTAGACGGTGGCAGAAACTTCGAACACTTACTTTGACCCATGTACCATATAATTTTTTCAATGTATTATTAAAACGATTTTTCACTTACCGTCTCTTTTCTTTATGGTGCTTCTGTGTACATCACCTCTTCAGGAAAGCATTTCCGACCCCGCATTGCTACATGATTTCGAGTCGTCAGGATGCATCCTACCCCTCTTAGGAGTTCTGAAACATTTAACTGAGACACCCTGTATATACACTTCCATTTATCCATTTTCTCTATTTTGCCTTTTTTTTTCGAGTAATCAAGAACATTTTGGAAATAGCTTCCAAATAGCAAAGTGAATTTTCTATTTAACGAACTTTTCTTTAAGTTCCACTCTCTCTAATATTTCCCACTTACCTAATTATTTCGGAACAATTCAAACTTGTTAACGCATTTTATGGGGGAAATGACCTTGAATTGATTTTCGAAGCCACTTTTAGAGAAAACTGTAAAATCCCTTTTTGTTTGCATTTCATACAGGAATCCTTGCCAAAAATCATTTTACGAGAAAGCATAACAGAAATTTTTAAATGGAGTCTTTGCTGAAGCTTTGATGTTACAGATCGTTCTATTCGTAACAGTTTTGCTAAAGCTGTAGAGAGTTCTTAGTCAGCGCAGAGAAAGTGCGGAAGACGAGGATGCTTTGGAAAAACTTTGTGGGTACAGTTAAGAGAGAACCACAAAATTAATTATGATGTATTGATTCGAAGCTGTAACAACAAAAACATTAACTGAAACGGATATTTTGGACAGTGTGAAAAACAATACAGCAATAATTGTGAGACGGAAATGATGTTAAAATCATTTGAAACAATTTGATAGTAAATAATAATTTATAAGATAAAGGTTGCTATTTAAATTATGTCTAGTGTTTATAAATTTTTTAAATCTGTTTTGCGTTGTTTAAGTTTTTCAACTGATGATTTTCTGTTTAACGATTTTTTTTAATAACGAACTTTTTATCGGAATTTAGAGACTTGCTAAATAAAGGTTCCAACTGTATATAATATTATTGATAAAGAGAACCTCAAAATTAACCTCAACAACAATTATATACTATTGAATGACTAATTTTAGTACTAATATTTGCAATATTTTTCTTTTCCTACAAGAATATAGATTAATAAAATCATATGTTCTTATTAATTCCTTCTTTCTCAGATTTATTCATGTTCTTTTATTTATTAATTTTAATGATTTTGATATTTAGCTAAACAAATATGATACACTCATGGACAAAAAAATTAGTGCACCAAGAAGGAGTCGTCAAAATGAAACGAAATTTTACATACGTAATGACCACTTTAATATAAGTAAATGACTAGAAAATCAAAAAAAAACAATAATCTTTGATTTTCTAATCATTTACTTACATCAAAGTAGTCATTACGTATGTAAAATTTCGTTTCATTTTGACGACTCCTTCTTGGTGCGCTAATTTTTTTGTCCATGAGTGTATTTAGATTACAAATGTGATATTGTAGCGTATCTACCACTACAAAATTACAATTACCGTTCATTAGTATATAAGACATGTTAACTCGATTCTATGATGGGGTACCTTTTCTTAGATGAAGGTTGACAGCGTCGATAACCACTCCCCCCACATTGGTGACCCGGACGTTATGTGAGCACGCCTACCTTGACCGAAACTCTTACTTCGATATGAACACGCCTACCTTGGCAGTAACGCCCACCTCGATGTGAACACGCCTACCTAGACAGTAACGCCTATTTCGATGGAGGTTCGCATGGAACAGTTGACTTGGTACTTGTGACTGCGACATTAACCAACTCCTCGCACTGTTGCTGCTCAGCCTCGCCTCGATCATACCCAACGTCGGCTTGTACACACTCGACTGCTAAAGGCAACACAGGAGCGACCACGACCGTGAACTTAATACAGCTCTCACGATCAGCAAAAAGTTCGGTGATCTTTCCAATTAAAAGAGCATTGATTCGAACTCAGCCAATAAGGTTTATTCCAATATTATTACTAGTCAGATTCATAGGCTTTACGAAAATAATTCAAACTATAAAGAGTTCTTAGAATTTAAAACAGATTTAATTAATAGCCAATTTCCTAGTTCATTTCTTCAATTTCTGCTTTAAAATTATTTTAAACCATTTAGAACGTTAATTTTATTATTATTTTTTTTTTTGCTTTTAGAATTAGCTCTGATTTATTTTTAAGGTAGGAACTAACTATGATAAGCTATTCCTAAAGCCACTGGACCGAGTAGTTTGAATGTATGACCTTTTATACTGGATTAGTTAATTAAATTTCTAGATAAATTGCCACCTTCGTTTTATGAAAGGTGTAACTATACATTACGTTTTAAAAGAATGGTGATTTCGAATGAAATTAGTAAACAAAAGACATGTTCAACACACATTGATATTTGGCACCTTATTTTTATACTTAAGGTAAACTATGAAATTTCAGCTTATTTATAAGAAACGATTATTTTATACGCAACGTAAATGATGACATACTCTGCATTTCCTTATAATTAACATAAGAAATTATCCGTTATTATTTTTTAAAAAAGAAATTTAATCTGAAATAAAAGCGCGCCTGAAAATTTTGTACAAGGCTGCACCATTTTTCCGATTAAGCCTACAACTCGGCGTTTTAGATTATTAAATATGTAAAACATTCAAATTATTAGAAGTATACGCGATTCCTTTTATAATTATTGATAGTTTAAAAAACAATACAGAAAAATATTAAATATCGTTTAAAGTTTGCATTATACACCACTTCTCCTAATAAAAGCACCCTGCTGCGATACAGCTTCATCCGTTTAAAAAGTTTAGTTCACGAACGGATTCAGTTTTTATAGAAGCAGAAGAATATTATGAATAAAATGTGTTCATGATGTTTATCGTTACTTGCAAATAATTTAAAACAGATATTTAATTTTGTCTTTTTCAGTAAATTTGAACAGCCCATTTTTCTCTAATTTTATCACCAAAATTAACTTCTAATGAAATAAATGAACTAATAGGAATAAATTAATAACTCTTTATGAAATCACGTTATCGGTGTATGACGTGCAATATTGTCTCCTGAATGCCATAAATATCCTATAGAATCTATTTTATATCTATAGTATAGATCCTATAGATATCATCTGTAGTATAGACATCATAGATATAAACTGCTGTTTGTAGAAAATGCAACACCATGAAAGAATCATCAGAATCAAATGAAATTTAATGCAGAAACGACTTGTACTGATACAAATAAATGATGAAATTTTCAAAACAAAAGAAACAAATTAAGCGTCCGAAATCAGTATTTGGTGCAGCCACCACGCGCTGCAATAAGTGCTGCTATACGACGTGGCATGGAGTCAAACAGATGTTGAATATCTGCTTGAGGAAGAGAATTCCATATCGCTTGTATGCGCAACCAAAGTTCGTCTTTGGAAACTGCAGGACGCGGATCACGAGTGAGACGCCGACCAACCATATCCCACACGTGCTCAATAGGCGACATATCCGGCGAATAAGCAGGCCAAGGAAGAAGTTGCATGCGTTGTGCTGAACAGAAGTCTCTAACAGTCCGCGCAACATGTGGGCG